ATGGAAAAGAAAGATGGGTACGCAGAGGGAGGGATGCGGCGGATGGGGGAGGGATGGAAGAAGGGATGGAAGGAGGAATGTGACAGATGGGTCGTGCCTGGCCAGAGCTGGGAGGGAGCGGAGAGGTTGGCAACACAGGGTGAGAGAACACACACAATACACACACACAATACACACCATAACTGTATGCATGCATGCGTGTGCGCCAGAGAAGTCCTCTCATGCACACTCTTTCCTCGTGTCAAGAAAACGTCGACCATATGATAAATAGGCAAATAGATGGCGCAGCAGACATGTTTCCACATATTGTTTGCATAAATCTGCTTTTGCTTTTCATTTCTGCGTTGGCGGGCTAAGATATTAGTTAAACGTGCCGAATCTAATACATGCTGTCAGAATCTAGAATACAACCAAGATATCCGATGCTAGAAATCGAGATCATCTTTGCTGAATTGCAACTCAATGGACGATGTCGACATCATTACATTACATGTTAGACACTTTTATCCAAATTGACTTACATACTCAATACTGTGGGCAATCACCACAGGAGCAATTTGGGGTGAAGTGTCTTGCCCAGGGACACAACGACATGCTGACTGCAGTGGGGTTTGAACCTGTGACCCCCTGATCCCAACACCAACACACAGCCCACTGCACCACACGTCTCCATCACCTGAGGACTGTCTTCATACATGCACAGCACTTTAAAGTGAAGCTGCAATAGTCATGTGATCTTTTGAAAATGTCAGGAAACAATTTGATAACATATGAAACCTTGCATCCACATACGGCAAAGCCTTAAAACAGAGATTTTTGTGATTTGTGTGCAGAAAACGATAATGCAGAGACCCACATTTGCAGTAAACACCTGTCTTAGCTGATTCACCCTATAACGCAAGCCTTTCATGAGGAGAACAACCCATATTAGCCTTGACTCCCAATACATGTTTTCTGTTGCATTGGACACCATATACTCGTTTTACTAGTAATAGTTCATCCCTCAACAGAATCTCTGGTCTTAATTTACGTCATTGCTGTTTTTCATCCGTAGTATTTTCTGCAACTAAGCAACCAACAGCTACCTCACAGTAGACAATATTCTGGACACTTGACAAACGTGCAAGCCCATAGTGCATGATTGGTCGTGTGGTATGCTTTTTCAGACTTGTTGGTATAGAGTTATCTTCTAAAACTGTGCGACAACACTTCCCAGAGTGTTCACTTCACTGAGATTGCATTGTATTAGTGTGGATGTTAGTGTCCCTCCTTTGTGTAAAGTCAAAAATGATCGTTTTGCACCACCTTTTTTAGTTCTGTGAATATTTAAACATGTTGTGACATAATAACTCTTTCAGAATTATTTTTGTTTTGAGGTTGAGATAAGATGATACCAGTTTCTTTTTGTTTTCTTTTACCAAATCTTTTCGTTTTCAGCTACATGATTTCCCAAAACTTCTCTAAATGGGTCAGGAAGACTCCACACCAAAGTTTATAAATGGAATAATTCCAGCAAGTTAAAAGTTATTATAAACTGAGATATGGATGTGAGACACATACTGCTCCCTAGTTTTGCTGATTTGAACATCTTTTACATCTTAGCTGCGCTGTTTTACCGTGAATTTTGTGATTTATTCCACAAAAGATTGTTAGATACGGCCCATAGTTTACCATGCTGACAGGGGTATGAGCTATTACCCATAATCCACTGTGTGTGTCTCTTTCATCAGGTTTCCACTGTGTTTCAGCAGGAGGATAGACACAACGGGGAGAATGAACTTGACTCTTCCACAGCACCACAGCTGGCTGACTGCTCGCTTCTCGTGTGTGTGTGTGTGTGTGTGTGTGTGTGTGTGTGTGTGTGTGTGTGTGTGTGTGTGTGTGTGTGTGTGTGTGTGTGTGTGTGTGTGTGTGTGTGTGCGTGCGTGCGTGTTCATACATGTGTACAGCTCAGCAGGCAGGTGCAGCAGATGTCGGGCACTCGCATCACACACACACAAACAAACACACGTACAGTATCGCCTCTAACATCTACACAGCAGACAGCTGAGTTGGTGACATTAAAGGACCCCTCTCTGCGTGACCCCGTCAGGTCACCATGGCGATGATAAAGTGCTGAGTCGTGCACATGTGTCCCGATGCCAGCAGTTTCCAACAACACCCCGAACACGCCCTGGTAATGCCCCTTATCTGGCAGACACACACACAGCTGGGAGAGCATGGCATGAAAAGAGGATTCTTTTTTCTTTTTCTGCAGGGCTTTATTGTTGCTTTAACCTTAAATCCAATTAATTTGTCTGTTTATAGCATCCTCTTCAGATGAGTCCTACAGGTGAAAGATGTGTCTCTTCACCCCATTCTCTGTTCTTTTTCTCTACGTCTTTCTCACTGTTATGTGGAGAGTTCATGGCTGCTCTCCTTCCATACAAGAATCACACAAAGGACAAGTACTGTTTAATCCCATCATAGCCCTGCCCTAAAGACAGACCAGCTGGAGGCCTTTGTGTGTGTGTGTGTGTGTGTGTGTGTGTGTGTGTGTGTGTGTGTGTATGTGTGAAACCAGGTTTTTTTTTGTGTGAGCGCTCTTCCAAGTGTGTAAATTGCTGAATGACAGTCTTATCTGAGTTTTTCTTATGCGTTGATATATGTATGTATATGTGTGTGTGTGTGTATTTGAAGGGGTTTGTAGGGGGGTTGGGGGGGTTTATGGTTAAGTAGTATTTGGGGGCCCCCTTTCACAGAGACACACAGATATTCAAGTTCGAGTTGCGTTGCCTTTTGTTTTCAGGAGGGGGAGGAGGGTGCAGTGGCTGGCTGGATGGCTGGACGGATGGATGGCTTGCTGGGACACTGTGCCCCCCGATTTTCCCAAAAATAATTTCCCCCACTCTGCCTCCCCCGCCCCCCCAGCCAGTGTAGTGCCACTGTATTGTCTGCTTGCAGGCGGGCCGCTTGTTGCTTGCCTTCTTGTCCTGCTGTGCTGAGTGCCTGACAAAGGGGCTCTTTTAAATATGCAGACAATCCTCGATCACTTGCACACGCACGCGCGCGCGCACACGCACACATACACACACGTTTGTCTCTGCTTTCCTCTCCCTCCGTCAATTCTTCCATGGCTAGACCTGGCCTGGGAGTGTTTCCTTTTTTCACGGAGAATCAACAAGTCCCCGACATGAAAAGGATACAGAAGGCTTTTCTCCCTGTGTGTGCCGTACAGGCTTTGAATGGACGCTGTTAGCATTGCTTTGAAAAGGCGGTCGGCGTGTTAAGGCTAAAAGCTGGAATACTGTTTGTTGTGGGCTTTCACCAAGCTTTGTTATTACTGTACATTTGTTCGTCTACAATTTTGTATGCACAAAAAACCCCATGGGTACGCAATCCTTGACTGTGTTCTTATTATTCACAATAACTCTGTTTAGATACATACACATACTGTATGTGTCCTGCATTCTCAAAAGTAAAATCTAGAGCTTTAGATGATCTGTCTTGAGAGTCTGAAGATTGTTTTCTCATCCTAACTCTGCAGATGTCAGTTTAAAGACATGAGCTGGAAACTGGTTTGAAAATGTGGAGCAACAGCCAAACATCAGGACGCTTGGAGTCCACATGACAGTCTCCTCTTTATCTCTCTTCCTCCCTCTCCTGGTATATGGGAGCCCTCTTTGGCAGCTTGGCAGAGGCCGCTCCCTCACGCGAAACCGCAGAGTGCAGGGGCCCGGGCCCCCAGACAGGAGCCCAAGCTGGTCTCAGCCTCCCAACATGTTGAGCTGGCCTGCCTTGGGCACAGCCAAATGGTTCTGCAGCTGCCCCTTTGTCCCCCTTCCTTAAGTAAACAAAGGACAGAAACAAATTAATGACCTACATTCAAGACAAACCTCGCACGGCTTCCTCGCAGGGAGAGCGCGCGAGCAGTTGTCTATAAGCAGATGTTCACTTACAACACTGCAGATTGCAATTAATGATCACCAAGCAGCGCATAACCAAAGGGAAGGGTTGCTATTATAATGTCTGCTGTCTGCCTGGATCATGGATGGAGATTTAAAGCACCGCTCCTCAGGGCAGGTAGCTTAAAAAGACTGACTTTTTGAATATTTGGCAAATTTTAACTAAAGTAAATATTCCCCATAATTGTAGACATTGAGAAATCTCCTAACAATGTAAGGCATGAACTACTGTGACATAAATCCCTTCCAATTTAAGACATGAGTTGTTACTGTTAAAACTCTTCCTGAAATGGACAACAAACTGAAATCTTTTGACCACTTGGAAGTTTCTTAAACCAATACTGGCCATTCATCAGACAATGTCACACAGATTAGACGTGAGCTTATCGCGTGAGTGTGCGTCGGGGCTTACTGAAGAGACCATCTGGGCCCTAATGAACGCTGCTCCTTGGCCTCTGAGTGCAGGGGCTTTTCAAGCATCTGTAAGAACAGGTTTACTGAGCAGCAATACATTAGCTAAAGCTGATTTATTTACTGGAAAACTGTACTTGAGGAGCTTTAGTAAGAGGCTGTGTGTGTGTGTGCGTGTGTGTGTGCGTGTGCGTGTGTGTGTTGCAGGGGGTTGAATCTCAACAAGTTGTTGCACAATTTCTTCTCAGATGCAGCCTACACCTTAACCAGTGCAGCAGATATATCAGGAGGTGTGCAGGCACGCATGAGCACACAGTGAGTTTTCAAACACACAACACACACAACTTCCACCCACATTGCAAGTCCCTAAGGAACAGGATGTGAAAACCTCCTGCACTCGCCCTGCTGCAACCTGTAGTGTGTGAGGTGCATATAAGACCAACGTTTCTGAATTTTCCCTACATCAAAATGTGCTTAAAAATATGTTGAATTTGTATATACTGTTATTTCTGTGTTTTCCTATGGCAGAGGAGAAGCTAAGCATTAACATAAGTAGAAACACAAGAGTTGTTAAATTATACATAATGACATAAAGACGAGCCGTGATTTTTTTTTTCAAGAAAAAATAGATCTTCACACAGGAGGTTGAATTTCAAGATTCTTATAATTTATTGCAGTTTGCACACAATTTAAAAATGTCAACAACAGCACACCAAAAAATTACAAAACTAAACACAATTAGAATTTACTCCCCTTGAGAAAAAAAAAAAATTAACCCAACTATGATTGTCAAAGCTAAAAATGACTACATCTGAAAAAGGAACATGAAAGAAAAGCAAAGACATTTCTTAATCTCAAGAGGGAGCAAATATATCTGAATCAAAATCTGCTTGTTTTTTCCCACATAGTGATTGTCCTTTTTCAAAACAGACTCAGTCACTTCACGCCCACCCCCCCCTCCCCCATCTTCCTTTTCCATAAACTGTCTATGACATTTGAACATCATATTTTTAAACCTTGTTTTAAATAAAAAATAAAATAAACTCCCCCTTTTGTTTTCAAGTAAGCACAGCAAAAGATGGAGATGTTTCGTCGGGGCGGATACTTCACAGCGTCTTGAGCGGTTGACATCGCTCCCACAACTTCCCCCCCCCCCCACGCTCACACTTTAAAAATAAAACATTTGAAAAACAGCCCGGACTACAGCAGTTTAAGGCGGTCAAGTACAACCAGAGGAACAGAACAAAACAAATAAAAAACACAGCAGTAATGATGAAAACAACAGCAGGATGGAGTGAGCCCATATGCAGCGGAGGAATAACGTTTAGAGAAGAAAAATTAGACGATGCGGTGCAAACTGCCGCAATGTCACCCACACTGTTGCCTTGGCAAAGCCTGTGGGTGCCACCAGATGACAGGGCAACACAGACAACCCCCCCCCTCCCCCATGCACATCACTGGGGGCGTGCACACACACACATATCTGAGTGAGGGGAAATGTAGAGCGTTCAATTTGAATTATCTCTGTGTCAAATGTTTCCAGATTGTAAAAAACGCTTGACCATTATTTTTAAATTCTAACAAAATTCTAGAGTTGAAAAAACTGAAAAATTATCAACCAGTGTAGCCCCCGACTCAAACACAACATTCACATACAAAAGAAAATTGTTTTCCAATCACATGATCAAAATATAATATCATTTTCTGATAAATTCCATGAATTTATATATGATTTTAACTTCCCAATGCTTTACAGTATCAAATACTTCCATAGCGTCAGAAATGTTTTAGTTTTTTAACAAAGGCATCTTTTCAGCAAAAAATCTGATTTCTTGTCTTTTAGCTTAAAAAGGTGCATTCAGGCATGCCAATTCTCTCCCATCGATCTCGGAGTAAGGATTATGTTTTAAGAGGAAAACACACACACCCACACACCCGCACATATGGACGTGTTAACACATTCACATCACTTCATTGTACGGGTTCAGCACAAACATATCTAACCCTTTAACTTTCAGCAGGACAGCTCCGTTTTCTTTTCTCTGTTATTCTTCACGCCAAAGCCAAGCCAGAGCCATATAACTGCACTCAACAGACCTGAAGTAAGTGCCCAATGAGCAAAAATAATTAGGAAATGGCTTTAGACGTGGGTCTATAGCTGGAGACAGGATGGCGACATTAGAGGTGGAGGACAAACATACAGCAGTGGAGACATTGAACGCCTGAGGAGGAGCAGGAGGAGGAAGTGCTGGGTGGACGTAGATCTTCAGTAGGTTTAAATTGACTGGTAATAACCAAGCCACACACTCAAACACACACACACACACAAACACACACACACGCAGCAGAGAGATCAGTGCATATACACACAGGCTTAAAATGCTTCATCATATCGCTTCAGCACCCGACGGAAACACATTCGGTAACATTCTTCTACGAGCCCAGCGACAGAAACTACAACGAGCAGAAAAATCCAACTTTTCACGGTCAAAAGTTTTACGTTCAACACCTCCCACCCACCGCCTGATGCAAAAACCACAACTGAAAAAGGTTTAAGACAAAATCAAATTCTCATGCATTTTTTCCCCCAACGTCGTGAGAAATATATTCAGCTTTTCAACAGACTGCACCCTGGAGTAGTATTCACAAAGAAAAGAAAAAGAAAGCCTGTTGTCAAATATTTGATCAATTACAATGTGTACAGTAATACAGCAAATTCACATTTGTATTTTAAAATATACAGGTTTGGACATCATGCAACAACAGCAGGTCCCATTACAAAAAAAGTAACAAAATAATAATAATAATAATTAATTTTTAAAAAAATGTAACGGATTTAAATTCTAAAACTATAGCAGAATAATATACAACAACCTTAAATTAAATACCTTTCCAACAACAGATGGTTTAAAGACTGCCAGCTAGATTTAAGAAAAAAATTCTATTAATAACAATAATAATTATAATAATCTGTAAAGGTCTTTTCATTTTTAGAAAATACTTCAAATTGATTGGAAGTGAAAAAAGGAGGCTGTGCATTGCATGAGTGCCATCAGTTAGTCTGTCAGTCAGTCAGCGTTACCCTGAACACACACCACCAAAGAGCGAGAAGCGCCTCGCCAACCTCACCTCCATGCCAGTAGAAAATAAAATGAATACACACAAAACACACTCATACACACTCACGCACGTCAGGTGAAATGTTTGCCAGAGTAGTGCAGTATCACACACACACTTCTTCAAACCGTGTGTGTGTGTGTGCTGATCACAGTACCCGTTTAGTGTATTGTATTTTCACTTCAGTGTGTTCGACCTGAACTCTTGCCGTGGCGTTTGCTGTCTGAGGATCTGGGGCCAGCGTCGGAGTGTTTTTGTCTGAGATGAAACACGAACGGAGTGAAAACTCTCCCAGAAGGCGAGACCCTCGTCCTTAGACGCAAGAAAAACCACCAAAACAGAACTTAACGCCAAATAATAATAATAATAAGAGTTCAGAATAAAATAGAATAAAACAAAATCACCCCAAACAGCAACAACAAAAAAACTCAGTAGTAACATTTTCATGTGCTATTAAAGTGCAATTGAATGAGATTTTGCGACACACACGAACATGACTCTCTTGAACCCCTCATATCAACTCTGCCTTCTCCCTTTCACCCCCCATGCCTCTCTGCCCTTCTTTCACTCTCCGCTCTTTCCCTTTATCAAACCCTGCAGTGTGTTTCTACTTCCACAGTTCCTGCGAGCTGTCCTCGATCGCCCAGTCCCTGACATTAGGCAGCGCCAGCGGCTCGCTCTTCACCGACATTGAGTTGACCAGTTCGCAGTGGAACTTGCGGATGTGTCGGTAGAGGTCCCCGGACTGCGTGAAGCGCCGCTCGCACCACTTGCAGGCGTGCGGCTTCTCACGCGTGTGCACCACGGCGTGCCGGCTGAGGTTGTGTGAGTATTGGAAGCTCTTGCCGCAGGTGGTGCAGGTGTAGGGTTTCTCTCCGGAGTGTGTCCGCTCGTGGCGCTTCAGCGTGTACATGCAGGAGAAGGTCTTGCTGCAGATGGTGCATGTGGGCACGTTGACGTCTCCGGCGGGCTTGGCGCGGATGCCCTCCTGCTCCCTAAAGTGGGAGCTGAGGTGGAGCTGCAGGATGTGCGGGGAGGGGAACACCTTGTTGCACAGCGGGCACATGAAGATCTGAGTGTGTTGAGCTGACAGCATGTTGGAGACGTAGGGCAGCAGGGCGCTGTCCATGCTGGCCACCTCGGCCTGGGCGCGCTCGTTTTCGCCCCCCAGAATGTCCTGGTCGTCCGCTGTGGCCGAGGGCTTCTCCTCCCGCTCCATCTCTGAGGCCAGGGAGGCCTCTCGCAGAGCGGACAGGTGGGCCTCCAGGCCGAGCCTCCTCTGGGCCGACAGGGGCCCGCCGACCCCGTGGTGCCCGAGGCCCCCATTGGTGATGGGAACTGTGGCCTTGGTGATGCCGCTGTGCTCCATGTCATAGTCCCCACCTCCGAGTTCCTCTTCCTCTTCCGAAGCTACGCCCCTCTCCACCTTCACCCTCACAGCCAATGGGCTTTGGAGCCTGTCTGGCGTCGCTGCCCCGCTGAAATACGACTGGTGGTGATTGCTGTGGTTGCTACCGGCGATCGGCTTGACTGACAGGTCCAGAACGCAGTCGGCTGCATCGTTTGACACCCTCCTGCCCCGCTGCCCTCCACGAGAGCTGACGGAGCGGTGCGAGCGCTGCGAGAGGGACCCTGTGGAGCTGGAGGGGCTGCCGGCCGGGGAGAGCCTCTTCACCCCCTCCCTCAATCCTTCCCCAGCCTGGGTCTCCGCCTCTGTGTGCCCCGGGCTGGTTGTAGCCGTGGCTGGCGTCCCTGATCTGTCTGCAGACGGCAGTCTCAGCCACATCGCTCCTCGCTCGGCCTTGGCCTCCTCGTCTTCGTCGCTGGGCAGCAGGTCGGCAGTAGCAGGCCGGCCTGTGGATCCTTCTGAGAGACTGTCGGCCTTATCGGAGCAGCTGGAGCCGCCGTCCTCTTCTCTGCGCGTGCTGTCCGCCTCGGTCGGGGACTTCTGCTTCAAACGTTTCTTACACACTTTGACAATGTCATACATGTGCAGGTAGCTGGCTGCTGCTAGCACATCCTCCACGGGAAGGTCCTGGAACTGCAGCTTGCCCTCGTACATGAACTCCAGGAGCAGAGAAAAAGCTGGGGCTGTGACAATGTCGTTGTTGAGGTGCACCACGTCTCTCTTGTCCAGCTGGTCCTTGTAGAAGAGGTGAAAGTACATGCTGCAGGAGGCCAACACAGCCCGGTGGGCCCGGAACTGAGCATCGCCCACCAGAACCGTGGAGTCGCACAGGAAGCCCTGGTGCCGCTGCTCGCTCAGACACTGGAGTAAATGTCTGCTGTGGTCTGGGAACTCCATCTTGCCGTCCTCATAACCTGCAGCCACACAGAGAGAGAGAGTCAACGTTAGATACATCTGATAAAGATCTGATGGTTATTAAATAGGTTTAGCAAGTTCTTAATTAAGTGTTGTGTTTTCAGTAAAAATGTGTTTATTTTCAGAGTTCAGTATTTGTTCTATGACGGTAAATACGCAAAAAGAAAACAAGGAACCAAAATCGTGAACGGAAAAGCAGCAAAAG